GCCACACCACAGGTGGTTCTTGCTGATACTATGTATCAATACTGGGGAAACCTGAAATTTCCTGAATGTCGTCCATATCAGATCTACCCCTCCCCTCCCCACGACTTTGTAGGTAGAAGTAGGAGTCACAACCCTCCCAAAAGACATAGCCACCAGGGATACCTATTATGCCAGCCTCAAGGAGGAAACAAGCAAGATGTCAACAGATAGCCAATTTAAAACTCCATATTGGTTCGAGATCATCCTGTTCAAAATCTCTATTTGGCGAGAAGACTAACTACTTCAAGCATGTTTACAATTTTAAGTGAAGATTAGCCATTTCATTCCTCAATTTATTGTTTGGTTGAAACTTTATCTTTCTTTGTTCTATTTGTTTTCTTTTAAGATTTGACAGACTTGACACACATAAGTTTAAATAGAGTGTATATGATTTTATACCATTTAGTCTTTCAAGGTATTAGGATCCATAAGTACCAACCCGTTTTTTACAAGTTGAGTCAAGGTTTTCTACTCACTCCTTACTAATCCCCCATCATATTTTTTGATAGCCCAACTTAGGCCATGTCGATATATTGGATTGTCACCTTTAGTTTAACTTAATATCAATAATAGACTCAGACAAGTTTTTATAATGTTTTTAATGATAATTTTTATTTTGAGCCGATTAAAGATCCAATGAGACTGACCCAACTTTAGAGTCACAACTCAAAAGATTTTTGATGAAGGGCAACAAACAGTAAGGTCTCACAACTTATTCAAACACTTGGTTCATCAAACGCCATCAGATTCGATCATACGACATTCTGCAATCTACGTATGATCAAGCGAGAGAGTTTTAAGTGCTAACCATATATAAATTCGTCACATACCATAACAGGTATTCATTCACTATCACGTTTTCAATTTACACCTCTCTGACCTCACTTAGGCGTAGAAGTGATAACCTTGTAAGTCCACAACTTCTTCACTGCACTAGAGGCTTGTACCTCAGCATCGGAGAAGCTTCCCAATAATGTACCACCGATATCTCATTCTGCAATGAAGCAATGGCGTCGTCTTTAGGAATCAACTTCTAATTCTTGTAAATTTGCATGAAAATTCACTAAGTCCTGCTTATTACGCCATTGCAAATGTTTTATCGCTCCGATCTAATATTCGTTAACTCATGCACCAACAATGGCAGCTTTAAAGTCATCTTAGACAACTATTCATCATAATTCAAGCATCATCGTCGAGGAGACAATACCTGGTCTCACTTTCGTAAGAGAAGTTCCACCTATTTCAATAGGGGAAACAAACCTTGTCTTGGTGACTTCTCCAACTGTTTCCTCTCCTTAGGCTCCAATCCCCCCTCAAACGTCCAAACTTCAAGTGCATATTCCAGAACAAGAAATACTTCAAAGCCTCCAACAGCTCCAGGCCAATATAGGCATGCAAAGAGCTAACATATTTATCACCAACACCTATACTTTAGTGCAAAAATAAAAACACATACCTCCTAGATGAAATACTCCTCCAAGTCTAAGTGAATCGACAATTTTCTCAACCCGGAGGTCATCCACCACAAGAAGCGACACCTCATAGTAATTGTAGAGCCACACCACAGGTGGTTCTTGGTGACACCATATCTCAATATTGGGGAAACCCTTAATTTCCAGAATGTCGTACATATCGGGTCCACCACTCTCCTTCTCACGAATTTGGGGGTAGAAGTAGGAGTCACAACCCTCCTAAAAGATACAGCCATCAGAGATACCCATTGTGCCAGCCTCAAGAAGGAAATGAGCAAGACGTCAACAAATAGCCAATTTAAAACTCCACCTTGGTTCGAGATCATCCTGTTTAAAATCTCTGTTTGACAAGAAGACTAACTACTTCAAGCCCGCTTGCTGTTTTGACTGAAGACTAGCCATTTCATTCCTCAATTTACTGTTTGGTTGGAAGTCAGTCTGGGACTTTATCTTTCTCGTATAAGGGGATTCATGAGTTTAACCTTATAAAAGCTCCCAAGCATTATTGGATACTTTCAAGAACAATTCTTGGGGAGAGGAGTATGTCACTTTTTAAAGACCGAACTTCTATAAATTCCTAGTGTCATCTCTCTTCCCTTAACACTTTTACTTTCCACTTAATTACTTTATTTTATATTTTTGTTGCTTATTTAAACGTTTTTGAGAAAATATTTTCAAACTCTGATTTTCAAAAAGATTTTAATTGTAATCAATGACTTTCAAACCTTCAAAATTCACCCACTCTTGTGTATGAACTCACATGTCCAATAGGTTAGTGGGATCACATGTTCTATGGTGATCACAACAACTATGGTCACATGTTCGAGCTACCCAACCATATGTACTCAGTAATGGCACCAAAGGCAGAATCCTCTTATGTCAACTGTTTGTAGCAGTAAAACAATGATATCATAGCAGGTGAAAAATCGTAGCATCTCATTATCAAAACGTGCATGTAAAACAATGATGGTTCATTTATAGGAAAAGACAACACAATTATGAATAATTCATTGTTACTAAGCATGATTAAACAATGAAACTACAAGCTCCTCCTTTAAACAAAATAATGCAGGTGCGGAAACAATGAAACAAAAGGTAAATAATGAAAGTCACATACCCATCCATTTGGTGTCCAATTGAGTGGAACATTAATCTTCCAGGAACCGAATTGTTTGAGTGATCCTAGAAGTGCAACATGGTCACCGAATTAAACTTGATGATCCCATCAGCCTATGACATCAAAAGACAAATAACATAGGGAATTATTATGGAAAGAACAATTTGGAACTACAATGTTATGAAGAATCAGATAGTCAAAAAATGTCAGCTGCAGAATGCATCAATCTTCAAAAGCCAGAAAATAATTCCTTGTAACTTCAAAGTGGTACTTGCACATTGGTATTTACACGTCCAAAATTAAGAAATGTTAAAGTCCGACTATATTTTTTTTCCTTCTAAAATCTGTTGCTTTAACAGTTAAGGCATTGAGCATTCATCGCATACCCATGATCACTCATTATCTTATCAAAGCTGTCCAAAGTCATTATTATTGTTTCACTAAAAATAATTAGTTGTAGCTGTATTCGTGCAGTTGTTCTGTTTAAAGGTTTTTTATCTTTACAAAATCATATGCAGCTAGTGTTGTCATGATTGTTTCTATATTATGAAATACTGCATGATTTGGCTTTGGTCTGAGTTCTCTTTTGTGGTTTTAATTTTGGTTTACATGTGGCTAGATTCTCTTTTGTAGTATACATTAACGAATAACATCAATTATGTTCCTTGTTAAGTGTTAAAAGGTAGCGAGTATAATTTTTCGCCCAATTTTTTTTGTTGGTACCGCATTGATATTTACATTTATTGCAAGTTTGATACTTTATCTGGTTATCCTATTTATGTACTTCCTTTGATAAGAATTGACAAGTCTATGAAAACATAATTCAGACATTATATCGTATTTGGTTTGTGTGTAAAATTTGGCGACCGAGGAAAGAAGACTTGTGTTGTGTGTGTCTTATTCATAATTTTGCAGATGACAATTCCTTTGAATATTAAAAGGAAGTAGAAAGAATCCTTATGGAATTAAAATCAAACATTTGCTACTAAATGGTGCACTACGTGTAGTCATCGTCTCATAACAAATTTCACAATTAACCTAAACGAAAGGACGCCGTAATGAATCAAAAGTCAAAGATAAAACGAAATAAAAAAGTGGAGCGACTTACAAACACTGTGAATGAGGACAGAAGATGATGTGAGGAAACAACTGATGACTGGAACGCGAGAGGGTAGCCGGGAAGTAGAGAAGGCAGGTGTATGCTCTGAGAGGAGAGATTTTATTTGAGAGGGAGACCTATAAAATGTATGCATGAAATGTAAAATGTTATCTTTGTGAATAATCAAAAGTTTAATATCAAATGCATGATAAGAAGAACAATTACTTTGTGTGATTGATGTAGTTATAAATGGCACTGCTATTTGCAAAACCAACATGTGTAGCAGGAAGCACATGAAAATTTGCTATATCTCCATTCACATAATCCTCATTGTTAACCAATACCATTCCAATAACACCTATACGAGAAGCTTGCACTCCCTTGTCAACTCTAGCAGTCTCACTTCGAAGACATACCAATATTTTTCCTTTAATCTTTTCTAGATCAAGAGTTTCTTCTTTGCAAATAGAGCTACGTACATACACAGGTTAAATAGATTAGAACATATCATATTCACTATAAGAAATTTATTTGAAACAATTAACTTAAAGGAAAAAAGAAAAAGAAGGAATTCTTACGCATCAATGGAAAACACTCTATCAAATTTGGAATCTATACCACTTATCAATGGATACAATTTGTTAGGTGGTAAGTTCAACTCTGAAAAACTAACTCCCTTGTATATTTTTTTAAACCAAAAATAACATAACTTGTGAAGTCTACGTGGATTGTGAATTTCTTCCGGAAGGCACAACAATGATGTTGTTAGCAATTGCATGGAAGCAACCTATGGAAATAACATTTGTAAAAAATTCATGTGGAAAATTTCCACCCAAGGACACAGAAAGTACATCAACACCACTTATGGCAGTGGTGGTTATGACGGTGAGTGGAAAAATGGGGCGGCGACTGATCTAGGGTTTGTGGAGAAACCGAAGAAATAGGAGAGAGAGAAATGTGAAAAATGAAAAGTGTAGAAAGAGAAAAATGTGAATTTAAAATTGGTATGGAGATTAGTTAAAGTGTGACAAATATAATGCAAAGAGAGAGATGTGAATGTTTTAATTGAAATATTTGTTAATTACTCATTTATCTAAATTATAGTATAAAGAAAAATTGGAAGAAGAACAAATATGTAAAATCATGCAATTAAATTTTGAAGGGTTTATACTTAGATTAAATACAATTAATATTTTCATCTTGCACACTTAGTAGTTATGAGTAGATAAGGTAGAACTGTTACAACTGTTGTGCTCATTGTGCTGTGACAACAATGGCTTCTTCACTCCATTGCTCTGTTTCACTTCCTTCCTCATTTCCAAAACTCTCTAACTTCAACACCACCAACAAATTATTTTCATTCAACTCATTAAACCCTAATTCCATTCATTCTTCATCATCATCCTTCTCCACAATCAAATCTTCCGTTTCCTCTTCGTCATCCCCTTCCTCTCCAACATCACTTGAAGAAACCGCTATGAGCATTGATAACCTTCGCAGATTCTTCAACCTCAATATCGGAAAATGGAACGGTTCTTTCTACGTAAATAATAACTTCAACATTTCAATTTTTGTTTGTTTATTTGGTGAATTAGGGTTTTATAATTTCAATTTGTTATTTTTATCTGTGTTTTTGTTTTTGTAGCAATTTGATGCTCGCGGGAAGCTGTTGCAACGAGTGAGTACTAAGCTTTCTGTTAGTTCTTATGGAGAAGATGAACTCATGAGTCTCATTCAATCGTAAGTAATAATAACATGCAATCATTCATTATCTTTTTTGTGATTCATGTATGTTTACTCAAAATTGTGGACAACACGGTTACGAAGGTTTTAAATAATGGTCACGATCTTCGGCTATTTTGGTCAGTAGTATAGGTGATGCGATACTGAATGGTTTTCGCGATTTTGGTTAGTGTTGCGATAATGGACCGTTTTTCAAAACCTTGGCCTCAGCAATGTGAAACTTTTTTGTGTACTAAAACACATTGGTTAATATTGCATAAAATTACATGTAAATAGGGTTGATGTGGTCACAATTTAGTTAGTAGAGACTTAAACGATTACAATTGTAATTGTGAGATATGGATTCCCTGCACTGTGGGACTTCACATTGATGTAGTCAGCACATTCGTTGCGGTTAGTTCAATATCAGACAATAAAATCTACATTGCTTGTGAACTATCTTATCTTGATCCAATAGATTCGGATGCATGGAGTATCCCAAGTAGAGGGTTCATTGCCGTAATTCTGACAACAGAGCATAGTTTAGAATCATGGTCATCAATATCTTATTTTAGTTTTGAGTTAATTAAAAAAAAGATTAAATATTGGGAATCTCAGGCTATTTTTTTCTTCTCAATATCACCAAATTGTTTAAAAGATAAAATGACATGCTATTGAAGTGATTCAAATCCAATTCTTGGCATCTTATCTTACTTTTGTGGTTTTCATATAGAAAACAAAGTTGTAAACTGTAAAGACTTTGTTCCCTGCAGGTTGTATATTAAACAACCTTCATCAAACACTTCAGTTTCTGGAGACAACGATGATGTGGACTGGGCAGAGTACAAAATTAAAGAAACCAATATGTTTACTGTGGACAAGTATCAGCAAGTGAGACTTTATTCTAATGCTGGAAAGTTGTAGTGTAATCCATAATATTTTTTTTTTTCTTTTTTGGTTCTTTCTTTGTGATTCCAAAGCTTCTTTAAAATATCCATGACAATTAGTTTGCAGATAGGCTTTTTTCCATCTGAGAAAGCATTTGCATTGAGGTACCAAACAGTTGGTATGTTGGAAACTGTATTACGATTAGGAGTTCTCGGAGAAGACGACACCGGTGAAGAATCACCTAGGTTAGTGCTTTCTTTGTTCCTGAGAAGAGATCAATTAGCACTGTTTGATTGATTTCCACATATGTGAAGCATAATAAGAACTGTCTTTACAATTCCTTATGTTGCAGAAATCTCAAAATTCCCTCTCGCCGACCATCTATTGTATGTGAGAATTGCCTGTACTCTCTACAGAGAGATATGCGAGCAAGAGCCTTTCACATTTTGGAGCCAAAAGGAACGGTTGATATGCTTATCATCTTCCTAGAGGAAAGAAGTGAGGGGTCTCATCCTCAACTTGACAGTGCTGGGGTGAGTAAGCTAAGATACATGCAGATTTTGTGTGTGTTTGTTTATATCTTCTGCAGATTTTGTGTGTGTTTGTTTATATCTTCTGCAGATTTTCCTTTATCATTCATTTTGAATTCATGTCAGGACACGACGAATAGGATTACACCATTTCTCGGTAAATGGAAAGGTCATTCCATAACTAAACGAAGTGGTGTCTATGGATCTACAATATCCGAAGCTGATACAGTTGTGATACATGAAATGGATGACAATGGCCAACTCATTCAGGTACTTTACATTCTGATAACTCTTGCTGCTGCGTAGGTACACCGAAATTGCAGCTCTGTAGAATTCTTTTAGCACTTTCTCAAAGTTTGTTGTTGTTTATGCTACTATTGAATACTAGGATGTTACTTCTACGTCTCACCCTGCAAATGTGACTACCAATGTTCCCTGGACTGGGATAGTATCAGACAATTTAGTCACATTTGATGGAGGCTATCAGATGATAGTATTACCTGGTGGCATGTACATGGGAAGTCCTTGCGATGTTTCAAAAAGTGTAGAACAATCAAAAGCTTTCCATTTGGAGTTCTGTTGGTTAGAGACACCTGACAAGAGGCAAAGACTGGTTCGGACATTTGATGTCGAAGGCCTGGCCGTCTCATCTACTTATTTTTATGAGACAAAATTGTGAAGTTAAAGTCTCTGTTATCTTTATCACTCTCAGTAGTTCAAATAGTTCTGTTTGTGAAGATGAACCATGTAATACTCATTTTTATTTGCATAATGTTGATCCATTGTTTGAATATGATTGGTTGATATTTATATTTAGAGATTTTAAAATAAATTAATGCAGAAATATGTTGTATATTTCATTGTAATTGGAACTATTACAAGTGAGGTATAAATAGAATGCATTAGAAGAAAGATGTACACTAATTGGCTGATAAACAGAGAAATAATAGACTATAAATATTGTTTCCTAAATAAGAAAATAACAATAATAGATAATAAATTTATTTACATCATTGTTAACAGTTGGACAAATCATAATCAAATGATTATGATTTGATATGTGCTAATCTTCAACACTTTCCCTTAATCTGGGTGGTAGATGTTTATCATACTAAGATTGGATTTGATATTTTCATAAGTATTCTTTGGAAGAGTCTTGATTAAGATATTTGTAGTTTGTTTGTATGATGGGACATGATCGATACTTATAATTTCATGATCAATGTTTTTTTAATGAAGTGTTTGTCAATTTCCACATGCTTAGTTCTATCACGTTGGTCTGGGTTATTTGCAATGCTTATAGCAACTTTTTTATCACATAGTAACCTCACAGTATGGTCCACATGAATTTTGATTTCATCTAGCATTCTCTTAAGTCGCATTCCCTTACAAATATACATGTGGCCATAACTCTAAATTCTGCTTCTGCACTACTCCTCGTCACTATAAATTGTTTCTTGCTTCTCCAAATTACTAGGTTTTCCCACACAAATGAACAATAGCATGTAGTCAATTTTCTGTCTGCGGAGCATCCTACCCAATTTGAATATGTATAGACTTCAATGCCTCTGTTTGAATTCTTCTTGAAGTGGAGACCTTTGTCTGGTGTACCTTTAAGGTATTGGAGGTTTTTATTCAATATTTCATGCTAGACTCAGTTGGATTTGACATGTAGCGACTAATCAAGTTTACAGGAAACTCAGTGTCGGGTCTAGTGTGAGTTAGGTAGATTAGTTTCTCAACTAGACTTTGATATCTATCTCTGTCAGCTGATGGACTTTCATCTTCTCTTTCTTTTATTGGTTATACGTATGTATTAACTGCCTTACACCTAAGCATTATAGTTTTTTGAAGTAAGTCATGGGTGTATTTCCTCTGTGATACATAAATACCATTCATTATTCGAGCAACTTCCATCCCTAAAATATACATAAGTTGTCCCAAGTCCTTGACTTCAAATTCCTTAGTGAATAGTTCGTTTAAATGATCAATTTGATCATAATCATTTCTTGTAATAACGATATCAACAACATAAACAATGAACAAAGCTACCTTTCCTTCCATGGAAGGTTTAACAAACATAGTGTGGTCTGATTGGCATTGGTTGAACTTGTCTTTCTTGACAACTTGAGTTAATTGTTCGAACCACAATATAGAGGCAAGAAGTAAAAGATTTGGAGAAATTTCCTTCGGGTGTTTATCGTCTTCACAGGAATTTGTGCGAGGGAAAGAATGTCGTTCAACGGTGTCTATGTTTCTAAATTTGGTTTGAATGGTTTTAAAAGAGTAAAATATGGAAATAAAAACATATGAACAAGTAAAGAATACATTATTTAGAGAGGAGAGAACTCGTCAGGAATTGAATTTCATCTACCTTATCAAATACTTAAATTTACCGATCAGTTGTACATAACCTAAATCACTCATCAATATTATCATGTATCGCTCACAATGGAGGTTATGTCTAACACAAAGTTAAGAGAACAGTCATATTGTCTCATCGGTGAAGTTTCACGCAACTCAACAATACAGAGCATTAAGAATCGATCCCCAGTGTGAATATTAGACCTAAATCTATCTCTAGAATTTAGAATCTAACAAATATTCATCCTAGATCCGGATCTGAAGAGTATATGTCTATAGCAACTCAAATCCAAACATAAAGTGAGTAAATAAGGATAACATCGATATAGACTTGTAAAATAGATCGTATACGATGCCATGATCAATAAATATACATATAATCAAGATAAACTTACATACAACACCCTAACAAATAGAAAATACAAAGAGAAAAGTGAAACTAAACCAGTGGTTCTCGAGGCGTCAAGACGATTATCACAAATCTAGCTTCAGATCGTCAAGATGCAACTTCTATTGTTGTTTCTGAGTTTACTTCCACAAAGAATCTTGGTGATGGAGTTGGGAGCAAAAAATACTCAAAACCATGCCCTAAAAATCTGAATGAATGATACTTATACAAACTGGAAAATGCAGGCCCGCTAAGCGTGATCCCACTTAAAATACGCATAAACTGCCTTATATCGTGCTAAGAGCAGTCGTGCTCTCGTTAAGCGTAGTTAATTTCCCAAAAATGGTTGCTTCTGCCAACCAATTCTCCTAGCGCGCTGCAACTCTCGCTAAGCGCAAATGATAGTATTTATTTCCAAAATTCTGCATCTTAAAGCATCTTTCTTGGCTCAAATAGATCCATACTTCAACCATGCATTATTACATATAAGACAGATGAAAAACTATCAAACTCAATGATATGTACACAATAATGCAATATAAACAACGGTGTGTAAACTATAGAAAATATACACAAAAACTGGGGATTATTAACGGAAAACAAATGAATAAACTCATTCGGTGTTAATTATTCACACTCAAATAACAACAATTTAGCACTCAACAAAATCTCCCCAACTTAAACTTGTTTGTCCTCAAATAAGAATTAATCAACCTAAGGAAACAAATGTAATCGTCAAGAAATCATGTTCAACAAGCTTTACAAAAAGAAACAAATGTATGGTATACCAATCAAAAGTACACGCAAAACAGTGCTTACCGCTAAACTACAATGACACAATGACTATGAAACAAATTCTAAGTAGAAAACACATGTCAAACATTCAAAAGCAATACGTGTTCAAGACTGAATCACACCTAACACACAATTTCATCAAGAGATTAAGAAAACAAATATGAGGGACAAATCACACACAACAATCTTGTTAACATCAATTTAAATTATGCATTCATCTAAAAAAACTCATATTAAAGGTATAAAAGCAAAAAACACAAGGGTTTTAAAGGGTTGTAATATGACTTGGGTAACAAATAATTGTTTTTCTCAAGGTAAATAAAACACAAACTTGTCTAATCCCATGAGAATGATTACTTCTCATTTTCTCAAGCATTCATAAATTTCCTTCATCTTTTTCTCTTTTCCAAATTGTTACACTAATCCACACAACTTATCAGCACAACGTTATTCTATTTTTTTTCTTTTTCAAGTCTTTTTCCTTTTTCCTTTCCTTTTCTTTTTCACTTTTTTTCTTTCTTTTTCTTTTTCTCAACCTCTTAGCAACCAACCTATCTTCTCCCCAGCTTGAATACAACCAATCATGTAGTGTGAATGCTCAAAACTTATTAGGCAAGGGAAAAAAATCCAACCATAAATCATAGTTATGGTTCAAGAAAAATATTAGAATCCATACAAAAAGGAGCTCAACACTAACATGGATTCTAACAAAGCTCAAAGGGGATAAGCAAATTTTCACTCACTCACAAGGTAGATTGACTATTTGGTCGAGTGGTTGTACTCAAAATCAAACAAAACTCCTTGACCATTTTATTGCTATCATACAAACCAACACAAATACAAGATTAAACATAATTCAAACGAGTTAAACAAGAAAGTTAATCTCCATGCAATTTAGTAAACAATGAAAAGGTTCCTCATATTGGTTGTGAACTAAAGTGATTCAAAATTGAACAAAAATTGCTAGAGAATGAATGGCATGTAAGTTGTACAAAACCTAAGGTTCATAAACATGTTATGTTCTAGAAAAACAATAAACACAAACCTTAGCAATGCAACTCTCTTTAAATTTTTTCACACTACCATAAATTTTCTTGTTGAAACAATCAAACTTGAACAATCATAAAAGCATCCTCAAGCTAATTAAAAAACAAGCTTAAGAACAAACACGAAAATTTCTAAAAACTAAGAAAATCAAATGAAAACTACTAAGCATACACTAACAAAATGGATGAAAGTGGATAGGAGAATGAGAGATTTTTCATTACAAAGTCGGGCGCGCTAAGCACGAGCAGGCAAACTTAGTTTTTTAAAATTGGTTGTTTTCTCTCATGTAATCTATCTATTCTCACTCTATACTAACTATACTACTAAATATAAAACTATATAAACTCAAAAATTATTGGTTTGCCTCCCAACAAGCGCTTGTTTCACGTCGTTAGCTCAACGCCTTTATTGTGTTTGGATAGTAGCTTCCTCACAGAAATCCTGATGCTTTTCTTCAAAGCGCAAACCAACAGAAAGTGTCATAACCAAACACTTGAACAAACTTTACAAAAAAAAAAATACAACACTTGAACAAACATAATGAAAAACGCATATGTACAAACACTCACACAAACAATATGGTTTGTATGGAAAACAAGTATGGAACATAAGTATAAACAAGTGTGGAAAACAATTATATACAAGGATGAAAAACAAAAGCAAAACAAGTATCTATACAAGCATATATACAATATAGACAATTATGCACAAAGCTTAGAAATATAGAAACTATTGCAATGCAATTCAATATCTAAACACCAATCCTCAGCAACAACGCCATTTTGTTCGAACTTCAGTATTGTGGCAAGAAGCAAAAGATTTAGAAGACTTTCCTACGAGTTTTTATCATCTCCATAGGATCGGTGCAAGGGAAAGAATGTCGTTCAACGGTCTCTATGTTTCTAAGCTTAGTTTGAATGGTTTTAAAAAAGTAAAATACGGAAAGAAAAACATATGAACAAGTAAAAAATACATTCTTTAGAGAGGAGAGAACTCGTCAGACATTGAATTTCATCTACCCTATCAAATACTTAATTCTACCGATCAGTTGTACATAACTTAAATCACTCATCAATATCATCATG